AGCCTGAGACCCCCCTCCCCGCCCTGCGTGAGGCGGGGCGAGCGGGCGCAGAACCGCCTCCCCGCGCGGGAGGGGCGACCTGGTCCATTACAATGGGCATACATGTGCTAGAATAAATGTAGACATCTGATCATAAGAATGGCCATCCTGGCTCATACGAAAGGTCCCTCTAGCCCAGTATCCTGTCTTCCGGCAATGGCCAATGCCAGATGCCCCAGAGGCAGTGAACAGAACAGGGAATCTTCAGGCAATCCCTTTCCTGTCATCCATTCCCAACCTCTGACAGAGGGCAGGGACACCGTTCCTACCCATCCTGGCTAATAGCCATTGATGGACCTCACCTCCACGAATTCGTCTAGTTCTTTCTTGAATCCTGTTAAAAGTCCTGGTCTTCGCAACCTCCTCTGCAGAGTTCCACAGGTTGACTGTGCACTGTATGAAGAAAAACTTCCTTTTGTTTATTTTAAACCTGTTACCTATTAATTTCATTTGGTGACCCCTAGTTCTTATATTATGGGAACTAGCAAATAACTTTTCCTTATTCACTTTTTGCACCCCAATCATGATTTTATAGACTTCAAACATATCCCCCCGAGTCTTTTATTTTCTAAGCTGAAAAGTCCCAGTCTTTTTAAATCTCTCTTCTATAGGATGTGTTTCAAACCCCTAATCATTTTCGTTGCCTTTTTCTGAACCTTTTCCAATGCCAATATATATTTTTGAGATGAGGTGACCACATCTGTATGCAGTATTCAAGATGTGGGTGGACCATGGTTTTATATAGAGGCAATAAGATGTTCTCTATCTTAGGGTATGTCTATACTACAAGCCTCTTTTGAAAGAGGCTTTTTTGAAAGAATCTTTCGAAAAAGCCTCTTTTGAAAGAGAGCGTCTAGACTGCAACCTCTTCTTTTGAAAAAGTGAGCCGCTTTTTCAAAAGAGAGCACCCTGGCAGTCTGGATGCTCTCTTTCGAAAAAGCCCTGTTTGCACTCAAGAACGCCTTTTTTCAAAAGAGCACTTTTGAAAAAAGGCATTCTTCCTCGTGAAATGAGGAGTACCGCCGTCGAAAGAAAAGCCGCGGTTTTTCTATTTAATTTCAAAAGAATGCGGCTGTAGTCTAGACGCAGGTGAAGTTTTTTCGAAAAAAGGCTACTTTTTTTGAAAAAACCCTGCAGCCTTATTCTCTATCCCTTTTCTAATGATTCCTAACATTCTGTTTGCTTTTTTGTCTGCCACTGCATATTGAGTGGATATTTTCAGAGAACTATCCACAATGTCTCCAAGACCTCTCTCTTGAGTAGTTGTAGCTAAATTAATCTCCATCATATTGTATGTATAGTTGGGATTATTTTTTCTACTGTGCATTACTTCACATTTACCAACAATAAATTTCATTTGCCATTTTATTGCCCAATCACTTAGTTTTGTGAGAGCTTTTTGAAGCTTGAGCAGTTTAGTATCATCTGCAAATTTTGCCATCTCGCTGTTTACCCCTTTCTCCAGATCATTTATAAATAGTTTGAATAGAATTGGTCCCAGTACAGTATTATGGACATCTCATAATATCATGCAAGCACAGTTTATTAAAACTACCTTATCTATTATCATTCTATTTCAAATATACATATATCATAATAGTTCTACTACATTTTTATATAGCTTCCTAAAACTCTAATTGATACTTCCTTATCTAACCATTACTGCCCTTCTCCTTACTCAGCCTAGTTGTCTTTTCATTACTTTCATGTGTTCCATTGTTTTTTACATTTGTCTTAATCTTACTTATTTACTTGTTGTGGCATTGGAGTTATTAGTTGGTTAGTCCTGTCCAGATAGTATTCTGTGATTCTATGACACTAGAACTGGAAAGGCCCTCAAGAGACCATCAAGTCCAATCCCCAGCCCACAAGCAGGACCAAGCAACATCCCTCAGAGATGTCTATCCAACCTGCTTTTACATATCTCCAGTAATGGAGATTCCACAATCTCTCTAGGCAATTTATTCCAGTGTTTAACAACCCTGACAGTTAGTAAGCGTTTCCTAGTGTCCAACCTAAACCTTCCTTGCTGCAATTTAAGCCCCATAGCTTCTTGTCCTATCCTCAGAGGCCAAGGAGAATGATTTTTCTCCCTCCTCTTTGTAACACCCTTTTAGATACTTGAAAACCGCTATCATATCCCCACTCAGTCTTCTCTTTTCTAAACAAGCCCAATTCTTTCGTCTTTCCTCATAGGTCATGTTTTGTAGAGCTTTAATCATTTGTGTTGTTCTTCTCTGAACCTTCCCCAATTTCTCCACATCTTTCTTGAAATGTGGTGCCCAGAACTGGACACAATATTCCAACTGAGGCCTAATCAGTGCACAGCACAGCGGAAGAATCACTTCTTGTGTCTTGGTCACAACACTCCTGTCAATGCATCCCAGAATCATGTTGGCTTTTTTTTACAACTGTGTCACATTGCTGACTCATATTTAGTTTGTGGTCCACTGTGACCCCTATACTCCTTTCTCTTTCCAAGACAATCACTTCCCATTGTGTGTGTGTGAAACTGATTGTTCCTTTCTAAGTGGAGTGCTTTGAATTTGTCTTCAATAAACATCATCCTCTTTACCTCAGACCATTTCTCCAATTTGTCCAGATCATTTTGTATTATGACCCTGTCCTCCTTGCAACCTCTCCCATCTTGGTGTCATCTGCAGACTTAATAAGCGTACTCTCTATGCCATCATCTAAATCATTGATGAAGATATTGAACAGAACCAGTCCCAAAACAGACCCCTGCAGAACCCCACTTGTCATGCCTTTCCACCATGACTGTGAACTGTTAGTAACTACTCTATGAGAACAGATATCCAGCCAGTTATGCACCCACCCTATAGTCGCCGCATGTAGGTTGTATTTCCCTAGTTTATTGATAAGAAGGTCATGTAAGATCTTATCAAATCTTTTACTAAATTCTCGGTATACCACATCCACTGGTTCTCTCTTATCCAATCCTCTCTTTTCTGTCTGTCTTGGAAGAGTTGCACCTAGCAGAGAAATCACACATTTATCTGGGTTTTTTTGCCCCATCATGTACGCAGACCGAGAACCAACTAAACATATATCAGCTTTCTGATTTTTTACAAATTATGAAGTTGTTTTAATAGAGTTTTGAGAGCTGTGTCAACATGACACACAGAAAGATCTCTTTTATATTTTCTTGTAATACTGTTAAATATATACTATCTATTTCTCTACCATTATTTAATACACATTTATCTAACATTTCATTATACATTTCTTTATAGATCAGCTGCATTCGTGCTGTATTAACTTCGTGGCTTACGGAGTGACAATTACATGTGTCAAATATCGATACTCAAGTGTCTTTAAATAAGCAATATTTCCCCA